ATATCGAGTAATCCCCCTTTCCATCGAATTGCGATAATTCGACCCTCGAACCCATTATAGATTCTATAAAAGAGTGGCCTGTACTCGTGGACACAACAAAAAAAGTTTTTTGAAAAAATTCTTTCCAGATGATCAATATATAACTGAGCGCCGAGTTTTAAAAAACAATTTTTGGAAATGAAGCACAACAGTGAAATAATCCGTTCACGAAACACAGGTATATAAAGCAGGTAAATATGCTTCCAGGTTACAAATTAATCACAAGAATTCAATCAACAGAATTCACAAATAAGCAACCAAGCAATAACCATGCATAAACCGGTAAGGATACCAAACCTAACCTAACGGAGAGTTTGGAATAATCTTACCAAACTACTATTGACAAACAGTAAATATACCACCAAGTTTCTGAACCAAATTGCCGTAGACGTCAAGCTAGGGGCAAAATCGTCCAACTTTTTCTGTAAAATCTGAAACAGAAAACAAACGACATCAGTGCGTTCAGGACGTCAAAATAAGTAAACTGCCCGAAAAAAGCTCGCCGGAGATCCGGCCACGCGCTGCCGCCGCCGGTCACGCGCCCCGCCACAGGGTGCGCCTCCTCCTGCTGGTCATGGTTCCATGGTCCATTTCGCCGGAAAGTCAATAGGTTGGCCGAAAATCAAGTTTTTCAAATTCGGTTAGAATGTGGTAATGGCGATTTATTGCTGGTTTTTGATCGATTTTGGACTAATATCACTCCTCCTAGCTCTGATACTAGTTTGTTGGGGATCCTAGGAGTTCAATCAACCAAAACAACAATCAACAAACAAGATTCAAGGCAAAAACAAGAAAATAAAATCGGAAGAATACAACCCCTTCATTTTTGGCCGAAATCTGTCCAGCTTCTTCTTCTTCCTTGCAGCTGCTTCTTCACCTCTTATGGCAGTTTTTCAGGCTCAGGAACAGCCCCATGCTATGCAAATTGCCTTGCAAAGAGAGAGGGGAAAACCAATGAAGAACCACCACCCTTTGCTATGAAAACCGAGAGCTCCTCTCTGCTACTAGAAAAAGAAACCGAGAGCTCCACTTTCTTAAAATAGTAGAGGGTAAGTCTACAGCAAGGAAAAACCATGCCTCTGCCAAAAAACGTGGGAAGACCTTATTGTGTCAACCTCAATACCATCAAGTCACAAGTTGATAGTGTTAGGTGAACCATATCCTCACAATAGTTTTGCACGAGCTTTTACATCCTCAAACTACAAAGAGGATAGGCTAGTGGGGCTCCCCAACCGTCAATAATTGTAACTATTTTAAGTAAAATCTATGAAAAGGAAAGGGGATATTTTCCTTACATTTTCACCGCATCTCCAAAAATGTCACCTTTTTTCAAATTTTATTTTCAAAAGATCACAATCAAGTAAGGGCTTAACCAATATAATTGACCTTGTAAATTCCTATAACTGTCGACATACAAATCTATAGCTTAAATCAACAACTTGGACTAAATTAGATAAAGACGGAAAAAGTAGACAACAATCAGCTGAAAATATTGAAGGTTTGGTTTAAAAATTCACGTCAATTATTAGGTCACCAAAAATTGATTGAGCAAGATGGGAATTGAGTTTTCAGAACCTCAATTAATAATGTAATTATTATTATTATTATTATTATTATTATTATTATTATTATTATAGAACGAAAATAACACAAATAACCTTAATCATTATCTTTGAAAAACGAAAGAGAAGGGCAAAATGAATATTACAGCATTTGGTGTAAAAAAATGGTGTAATGAATATGGTGCAACATTGTTCATATTGCACCATTTTGCACCAAAGTGGTGCAATGATTGGAGCGACGCTTGCACCAAATTTTGGTGCAAAAGAGTGCCCATTGGAGATGTGAACTTCAAATCACCAAATTGCACCATTTTTCGGTGCAAAGTTGCTCCAATACTACACTATTCACTTTGCACCAAAATGGTGCAAAGTGGTGAAAGTCTATTTTCGTTATTGTAGTGTTTTTATTAATTGTACTATGTTTTTTATATTTATTAATGAATTTAATCTTTTTCGTAATTTAACGTAATTATTTATTTAGTAATTTATGTATTGATAAAATAATTAAATACATAATATTTCAAATAAATAAATTATAAAGAATAAAAAAAAGGGAAGAAAATGATTAAATACTGTAAATTTGGTGTAACTTTTGGTATAGTGGTTGAAGATGAATTTTAATTTGGTACAAAATTTCGTACAGTGCTGGAGATGGCCTAAGGGCAAAAATAGTTGCATCACGAAATGTACGAAATAAAGTCATGGAATAAAGTTTACTAAATTTAAGCGGAAAGGCGTGAAAATATAAATCTCATTACTTACTAAATTCTACCATCTCTATAAAACTACACGAGGTTGGGATTTAAAACACATTACAAAATACTTTAATATGGTTTCCTAACTTGTAAAAGACTTAATCAAGAGATTAAGCACTTGTTCGGGAGCCATTTTGTCAAGATAGCCATCAATTTTTTTACCATTGCCAATGAAAAAGGATTCGACTCTTGCCCTTTTTTTACTTCACCAGAAATAAATTATTATCTAAAATTGAAGTCTAGTGGTGAAAGACTATATATCACCTTCGTTTTTACCTTAAATTAATTGTATGCATCTCCATCAATCACTCTGGTATATTTGGAAATGAATTTTAGGTGATAATTTATCGATTAAAAAATAAAGTAGTACTAGGGCCCGCTTGTACTTAGCCAAACATAAAAGAATAATGCCCTGTGTATAGATAGATTTTTCACAGATGTTTTATAGGACAGTCACATGGGAATGTGCCCTATGTAAATATCTTATGGGGGTGGACCCCACTGCTGTGTGTATTTTGTAAAATATCTATAGAATTTTTTGGGTAAGTGTATCACTGGCCAATATAAAATTCAATCAAAATTCCCCCAAGACAGGGAGCTAAAATATCAAGACAACCACATTTCTTCAAACTAAGTCTTTTCAAGATTTTGGCCCCCGGGGCACATCCCAATTGGCAAAAGAAGGAATAATTTCTGACAGAAAAAATATGTGGTTAAAAATAAAAAAAAGTATTGAATTTGTGTATAATATTATCTTATTGAAGAATGTGTGGTTGAAAAGAAAAGAGAGACAAATATATTTTGAGAAAAAAAATAGGAATCAAAACAAGTCCTAAAGATAAATATGATTCAAAGAAAACATTAATGCACATTATTACATTAGGGTACACTTCTTTCTTTCTTTCTTTCTTTTTTTTTTTCCTTCCTTCCTCTTTGGTTTGAAGGCAAATGGCAACACTTCCATTAACTTAAGCTGCTGCGAACACGAAATGTATAATACAATCATACATGGTAGTAAAATCATGTAAAATAAAGTCAATTTGTTCCCCACACGAAGAATGAAGCACAAGAACCACAATATAAAGAAAAATTATTGAAGTTACTATAAGCATTGGAGGAAATCGTTTTATTACCCCCTAAAAAATAAAGATTCTCAATGCAGAAGATGTTGCAAACAGACACCTCGAACAGCTCCTCACGTTTTCGTTCTCAATTGGATCAAATTCTACACATTCTGTTTGGAATCGCTCATCGTACAATTTTCAATAATCATGCCTTTCCCAACGGAGAACGGACCTTGTGATATAAATGTTAGGCTTTTTGATTTCCAACTTCTTCAGCTTGGACTTGGCATTTTCAATAGCACGACGACTCACACTCCTACATCCAGATAGATCAATATACTCAAGGTCCAAGCACCCTTCACAGATCAGATCAAGTCCTACTCCCATCAACTTGGAAAATTGGAGTTCAAGTTGCAATAGATGAGGCATAGAATTTCCAATGGCAGCAGCTTCTAAATTCCCATCCCTGGGATAGGCATTCAGATACTCATTAGGGACGATTCCAACGTGTGGGGAAGAATCCAACCAATTCATTATATTCCGCCTAAGAATCTGCAAGTTAGGACAGTGTGATCCAATGGTTTTCAAAGACTCGTGAGATATTTGATAACAGTAGCTGATATCGAGCTCCTTCAGCTTGGGACATCCAGAAGCTATTTCAGACATAATTATATCAGACACATGAGGACAGCTCTTAATAGAGAGAACTTGAATATTTGGACACCTGTTTGGTTGGTTGATAAAAACTGTGAGTCCCGCGAAATATAAGTTTCGAGAAAAATGCGTTTTAAGCAATAGGGGCCAAACAGAAAAGCATTGGATGCATTAATGAACGGCTAATGCCACAGGGGCACCCCGGAAATCTCGGGATTTCTAGCAAAACTCTTAATAAACTAGAGAAGGAGATATGCAGACTTGGCTCTAACGATTGCTGATTCATTTCAATTTTAGTACAACTATCTGTGAACAAAAGAAAGTCATGACTCTGTAATATATCAAATATTCTTTCCATTTCAGTATTACTTGAAAGAAGATGGAAATCGTGATCATAATTAGTACAAGAAGAAGGCCCGTGGAAGAATTTGTTTTGGTTTTGCAACAGTGTCGAAGAAAATACTTGGTTCAAATGGTTTTCAAGAAGCAAAGGACAAGACTTTGACATACATAAAAGAATGAAATCATGAATAGAAGCTAGATTAAAGATCGTTTGAAGTTGACCCTCATCATATCCCGGAAAAAAATAATAATAATAAATAAAAAATAAAATAAAATAGATATTTCATAATCCGTGGACGTGGTGGGAATCCTCTTGGTGCCCAGATATTTCATCCATAGGCGACTTTAAGAAGGTAATCAACGATATTAAGCTCAGTTTGATTTCCATTTTCTAATGAAACCTTGTAATTTACTGAAACTGTCCACACAAAAGCTAGCTGTACTAAAAAACTTGAACTAAAATAGATAAAGCCGTATGAAATAAACAACAATCAGCTGAAAATATTTAGGGTTTGGTTTAAAATTCCAGAATCGATTATTAAGTCACCAAAAATCCAGCAACGGTAAAAACAGGTTGACCAATGATTTCTTGCCCGGTCAAAAAGAAATTTCCATCTCCACCCAAACTGCCAATGGGATAAATCAATTCGATGATTGAAAGAATAATTTAAGAACTAATCACAAATGAGTGAGCAGATACACAGGAAAATAAACAAAAATACCTTCGAGCAACCAAAGAGAGGGAGCGATCCGAGCAGTGTCTAACACGGATTTCGGAAAGGGATCCATTACTCCAGCCGACGACTGATATTATCACGTTATCGATCCTGCTCTCGAATTCGGGGGTCCAGAATCGGGGTAACTCAGTTACCGAGTCGAAGTTAGTCTCGAGGTCTAACACTGAGTTGAGGGTCGGATCTTTGCATTCCTGCAGCCACGCCTTGCACACAAGCATGGCTCCCAGCCATCGGTCCTCTAAAGAGAGGCGGGAGAGGATGTTGCGGAGGCACTCGCTGATCAGTCCGGCCCAGTCACGAGCCAGTTCTCCTGAGTCAGCGGTATTGTCTTGGTTGTAGCCCTCCATTTAGATTTTGCACTGACAACGCATTGGTTGATGCTATTCGAGGCAGATGAGTACATAAACTGCGTATAGACAGCTACGGCAATAATCATCAACAAGAAATATCTATAATTTGTGGTTGAAAGCGAGTCTTTATTTTGTTGGTGAAATGATAATATCGTGCTTTAATAACAGGATTTCACCACTTGCAGAACCTTTAACATTTCGTTAATTGAAAAGTGTGTTGCAAAATGTATTGAATGAGAAAACAGCCTTCTTCATTTTTTATTTTTTTTTAACTGTCAAATGACAAAGTACCATGTAATTGAATATGACAGAATGTCATATGATATTCTGTCAAATAAAATATCTATCAAACGTAATTGTTAGTAAAACCGCCATTATACTCCCTAGTTCTTTCAAATTTTGAATATGACCAAGACGTTAAAGTGTCCCCTACAACACTTCTCTATATGGCAATACGCCAAATAGAATCTACACCAAACTTGAAAGTTAATGAAATCGACAATATAAACTTCAATTATTCCTAATTTTGAATATGACCAAGAAGTTGAAGTGTCCCATACGACACCTCTCTATATGGCATTATGTCAAATAGAATGTACATCAAATTTGACTATTAATAAAAACGACATTATAGACCTTAGTTCTTCCAAATTTTAAATATGACCAAGAAGTTGGAGTGTCACATATGACACCTCCCCTAGCTGCGGTTTGATATTGCTAAAATACAAAATTTTAGTAAATTTTGATAAAGTTTAATGAAATAAATAATTAAAAAATTTGGTTAAAATTAAAAATATATTCATTTATCTCTCAACGAAAAATTTGGAAAAAAATAAAAATAATAAAATAAAATTATATATATATATATATATAGTATGGGTAAAGGTAGTATGACCGACCTCCCAATGACATTATTGATACTTGTTGCAGTATGAATTAACCCCTTTGGTACTCTACGTGCTTTCTTACGTAATCTTCTTATAGTGATGAATCTTCTTTTATGTTCTTAAAAAAAAAAAAAATAAATAAATAAAAAATTGTCTATTTTTTGGGATGTCAAAGGTCCTTTTAGCTAAATCAAACAAGGGTTTTAGTTATTTCCATTTTCAATGACTCCCGAGTAGGCTCATCGTAGTCTATGCATGGCTGAAAATGAAGTCACTTTTTGCATTTTCAGCCATGATTTGACGGCATCCTACTAGACCATGGTGCCCACAAATGTAATTCAGGTAGCTGTTCTGAAATCTATATATATATATATATATTTTTTTTTTTTATCTATGCCCCTATTTAATTTGGATAAATTAGCAATTTTTAATAGATTTTGATAAAAATTGATAAAATAAGTGATTTAAAAACTTAATAAAAGTTGTGAGTCTCATGAACTTGATGATTACGTTAACCAATTCCTACAATTTGAATACTTGAGTAAACAATTGTTCTAAACGATGTTTCTAAAAATTTTGAGTTTACGTGTAGATTATTTTATTATATGAAGTATGGTTGAAAATGAGTATGAGAAATAAATTAAATTAAAGGCATAAATCTAATTTTTGATGAAGCGAGAAGTTAAAAACCATGTGTAGATATATTTTCCACTATATGAATTATTCCAGTAGAATGGGCTTTCAACCCTACTTGTCACCCATTCTTTTAAGAATAAAAAAATTTTGAATAGTATTTTTTGGAGAATGTATGATTAAAATGTAAGAAAATTTTATTGGTTTGTATATATAATATTTTATTGTGTGAATATATGGTGAATAATGATACTGTAACAAACAATTTTAAATATTAAAGGTTGTCAAACATGGGTTTATTCTACTAGCTGAGGTGAATTCATCAATATTTTGATTTGCACTTGCCATTCTAGTTTATCTAAAATAACATTTTGAAAATTATTTTGATTTTGCAAAATTATAAGATAAATATTGATGATTTTGCATTCTTAACATCGTGGATGGATAAATTTTATCTAGTTTAGAAAATATATTTCGTTACAATAGTAACCCTCATTTTGAACCCTATAAATACAGATCCTGATTTTCAATAAAATACACAGGTGAATTTTGACTCATTTATTTCTTCTCTTTTTTTTTTCTAGTTCTCCCAATTATAATTGGTTTATAATCATAACATAAATTTTTTATCTAATTATTTTGATAGTGTAATATATGTATTATTTCTCGACCACAATGTATTAAGATAGAGAGTAAATAATGCTGAGAATGAATGTATAGTTTGAACCATTAAACAATACCTCAAATCCTAACGAAGGATATTTTATAATGTGGTTTGCTAATTGTCAATTTAACTAAACAATTTCTTCAATATTAAGGAGAGAAATTAAGAAATTGAAAATAATATTCATAATATATCATTATATTATCTAGATCCTCACAGAAATAATTCGAGCCAAGCGTTTGAAAGATAATTCATTTAGATACATTCAATGATCAAAGAAATTTATAGTATTTTACACACCAACTTTAAATGCTCAAACTTGAATTGGCTTCGTGGAAGTATAATTTGTTAACATTATATCTAATATATCTATGGCACACTTAAAGAGTGAATACAATTGATTTTAAGAAAAAATCTCTAAAAGTAAATAGAACAAATAAGGAAGATGGTCCCATTTAGGAAGCGTATATTTAGGAAGAACATATAAAAATAACTAATTATAAAATTTCAAAAGATGTTCAAGTGTTAAAAAAATTGAAAATAGAGATATCTCATTAAGTTATGTTGTTATTGAAAAAAAAAATAGAATTGAAAGGAAAAACTCAATTTGTCAAATCAAATCGATAGAAGAAATGATTGACCAAATAAATGGATGCAGTCCTAGCAAAAATAAATCTACTTTTTGAATCTACAGCCCCAACACCTAAAGTTGCATACTTGTGTGGGAAAGAAAATGAAAAATATAAAGTCATGCATAATATATAATGTATGACTCTTAACGTAATGAATTTCGCAAAGACTTGTATAAATAGATAAATTATCTCGTGGGGGATGCAATCACAATTCTCTATGTAGTTAGCTTGACAATGAATGAAATTTGATATGCATATATTAAATGTAGTTATAACCAACTTACTTCGTATGGTTTTAATATTATCATTAAAGGACTTTTTGTTCGAAGCATATAATTCAATTAATATCATCAAATGGGTAGTCAATATGCATTGTACTCTTTTTTCCTTGACCAGAATTTTGTCTCATTGAATTTTCCAAGCAAGATTTTTAATTAAACAACTTTTGTGGTGTATTCAAAAAAATAATGTGCTCTTTTTTATTCATTAAAATTTTTCCAAAGGGTTTTTCTTAATAAAGTTTTAACGAGGAATATTCTTTGTGTAATGATGTCCATAACCTACAAAACATTACCCTCAAAATAATACTCATATATGTATGAGACTTTCGAATCATCATGTTATTACAATCATCAAAGATTGATAAATATTTCATATGAAGCAGTGTTATTTGAAGACTATACAAGACAATATATAATATGCTTCACTAGGAATTTCAAACGTACAAGATATGGGTCACTCAATACAAAAAATTTCGCTTATTGATTTTCTAGTATTTTACGTGTCACGACAATTAGGAATAGAGAATCTATATCACCAGAATTTTTTGACAAGGTTTTATCGAAACAACATTTTACTAAAATTATTTGTACTCCTTTTCATCTATTGATATGTTTGTACCCTCGGATTTTGCCAAACAATGTTTCAATGAGATAACTACTGTACAAATAATCATCAAATGAGGAGTGTTGTAAAACTATAAGATAAATATTAATGATCATACAGTCTTATTATCATACATAGGTAAGTGTTATATAATTTAGAGAGTCTATTTCGTTGCAATTATAACTCTCAATTTGAATGCTATAATTACGTATCTTGATTCTCAATAAAATACACAATTGAATTATGACTCATTTATTTCTTCTCTTTTTCTCTCTAGTTTATAACATTTAGAAATTTTATTTTCCTTTCAAAATAATCACTTTGCTCGTATAAATAGAAAATTCTATAATTTGCTCTTTGTTTAATTTTCTTGCATTGGTCTGCCTCTTAACTTTGCTATAAAACACGCCATACACATTAAATTCTATAACACTTTACAAATTCATGTTATTTATTAAATAATTTTTATTCAAAGATGGTAATGAATTTTTACAAAAATTATGATCTTCATTTCTTTAAACAATAACGTCAAAAATGAAAATTATTTTTAATAAACTAATGGTGCGGGAAAATTTTCAACAAATTTATGAATACCTTTCAAATTTATAAACGATTTTTTCTAAAATTTGCATGCACTTATTTTAAACATTAACCAATTAATGTGCAACGCACATTCACCCACTAGTAAATAGAAAACTCTCTACTTTGCTATTTTAAATTTTCTTGCATTGGAGATACCTCTTAACTTTGCTGTAAATAGCTACCCTTAATTCAAAATAGTAAATCTCGCTATACACATTAAATTATATAACACTTTACATATTCATGTTTATTAAATATTTTTTGATTAAAAGATGGTAAAGAATGTTTACAAAATTTATGATCTTCATTTCTTTAAACTATAACGCAAAAAAATAGAAAATTATTTTCAATAAACTAATGGTGTGAGAAAACACAGCAAAACTTTCATTTGAATTTTTCCAACTTGTCAAACGGACTAGTGGAAATTATTAATTATCATCATCTAATAGATAAGTTATGTTCAACGAGTTAAAATTTTAAAAGATCAAGTACATTAATATATGCTATGATTTATACATATTATTTTTAGTTTTAGTTTTTGATGTTTTCTTTCTTTTTTATGAGAAAATTTTAAGAAGTGAAGATAAATATACATAAGCTGTTCATAGAAGTATACAACTTGATATAAAATAAAAAATAAAATTGTTAATATGTTTTTGAAAGAAAAAAAAATATTGTGTTGTCAAGATACTTGAATTGATATTAAAATTAATTAAGGAAATAGATATTTATGATTAAAAAAAAAAAAAAAAACCCGATGGGCAATCATTGGAAACCAATATTTGGAAGAGTAGTAAGGGGTATTTTGATCTGTTGTGCCGTTATAAATGGCAAGTTTAAAATTTTTCTATCTCTTTTCAAAATTCATTTTTGATACCAATGATTAATCCAACATGCAAATAAATTTGCCAAATATGA